CCTCACGAGCATCTCCAGTGGAAAGTAAATTCCATGAGAGCATGGGGCTTTTTGTTTGTTCTGCTCACTGCTGTATCCAGTACCTAGGACAGTTCGGAAAACTTAACCAACAACCTGTAACATAGATACTGTTACGAAATTGAGGCCTGGAGAGGTAAAGTAACTTGCCTAAGGTCACCACATTGTTAGTAAATGGGGAAGCTGGGGTGCAAAACCTAGGTAGCCTGATTCCAGAACCTGTACTCTCAGTTGCCATTATTCCTGCAGCCTCCTTTGTGTAAAAAAATAATAAATGAGGCTTATTCATTAGAGTTAATCATGAGAGGGCTATGAGCATAGTTGAGGGTTTCCCAGCATCAGCCCTGTTGATATGTGACCTGGATGCCTCTTTAGTGTCAAAACTTTCCTGCTCATGGTAAGATGTTTAGCAGCTTCCTGGCCTGTACCCACTACCTACCAGCAGAAGTTCCCAGTTGGGATATTAAAAAATACTACCAGGTATTTCCAAATGTCTCCTGGGAGGTGAAATAACTCCCAGTTGAGAACCACTGCTCTAAACCTACACATTAAAATGTCACAGATAGGTGTCTGGAAGAAAGAGTAGGTAAACACCTAGCATTATATTTAGAAGAGCTTATACTTCTTGCTGTGCCACAGTGAGCTCAGATACAAGATGGGAAACAGTTTGTTCTGTGACCATAAGTATGTTTTATATCAAGACCTGAATTTTATCCCTTTTTTATAGTATTCCTCTAGAAACGTATCTTCCAGTGTTTCTTTTTCATTTATGAACTGCATAAAATCCCTGGCAAGGATTTTAAATATGACACCTTGTCTAGCAAAGCTTCAAATGCATTTCTAATAGCACAGAGGTATGTTATTTCTTAATGTATCAGTATAGTCAGTTTTGCTATAACACAGCACATGTGTTCCTAAAAATCACCCCACTGTGAAAAGCATGGGGCTTCTGTGGAAAATGGGTTTAGGAGCATACCCCTCAAAAAGTTCACTAGATGTGCATACAAATAAACACAGGAACCTAATAAAAGTGGTTCCACAGTTTCACATACATTAATTGGGTAAGAATTACAAAAAATAATGCAAATACACTTCTGCCTTGAAAAAGACCCACAGTTCGCTTTCAGCCTGTGAGTGACTGGGACGTGTTGGAAGCAGGGCTGCATGAATTAGAAAGCTGTACCATAACGTGTTGATGAGTGTTTCATAAAACAGGCCGTGAACTCAATCAGCAGTGGGCGCTGGAAGTTGTGCAGGTGTGCGGTGTGTGTCCCCCTGTGTGCTGGAATTCTGTTGGGCACAGTAACTAAATTGTTCCCTAATTCACGAATCGTGCCGGAACACGCTCCTTACTCCTGAATTTTGAGGCCCTCCCCCCCAAAAAACACTTTGTGGATTCCAAAAAGGATGGCAAGCGTAGGATGAAAACAAGCTTTGTAAGTGATGCAGGGGACAAACTCTGGTTGAGTGGAGGAAAGACTGGGTGTCGCTGTCGTCCCTGATGTCCCCTGAGGTCCTGAGCAGACACTCCTCCTCTGTGCCGAGGAGAGGACAGTGGCCATGGCTTGACACTTACCAGCGGGCCGGCCACCTCCCACAGTGCTCAGTTGCCATACATACTGAGGCACTGAGGTATTTGGTAGCAAATGGACTGTATGCATTAACGAATGGTTTCGTGGAATTTATCTTTTCAGAAAGACTCATTTGGATTTCACTTACATTGATTTTGTTTATTGGCTGTCAGTATTTATTTAACTCATTTTTAGTTTTGGTGAATGATTCAGGAATTATGTTTATCCTTTACCGATATTATACTTACAAATGCAACATACTATAAAAAGGAAGTGTAAATGCAATTATAATAAGAAGGAATGCTTTGAAATTAAAAAATATTTTCAATAAAATTTTGAATATCTACAAATGTGTATAAAATACATTTGCTTAAAGACAGCGAGGATGGACGGTCCTATCAGGTGGTGGGAAATTTACCACGTTTACATAGTTAAGACTGGAATTGATATTTTGTTATGTCATAATTTTCATTTATTTTAATTTTTGATGAAACGATTAGAAAACATTACTCTGGTTTTCAGTTTGGGAAGTATGTTGTTTTATAGGAGATAACCAATTTTTATTCAGATGGCCTGTAAAATCTTATTCTTCTGAATTTGAATTTTGTAGAAACCTAGTAATTTTGAGTGATTGTAACTTAAGATACATCATGGTTCAGATACTGGGATTTACCATTTAAGAAAATACACTATGTGTTTTTTTAAATTAATACCCAAGAGCCAGGAACACTGTATAAGTCAGAACAAATGAATAAACATTTGTTTACTTTATGTTAGCAATTAGGCAGATATACTAGGAGAGATTATTTCTTTGTTTTAAAAAAAAGTAAAAGACACCCATTAGTGTCCTTGAAGATTTTATATGAATTATGTTAATTTAATACCAGAACATTAAGTAGTAAAAGAAGAATATAAATATATTCCTATTTTATGTTGGTTTTAGTCCCTGGTCTTTTAATTAAGATGGAATACCATGTTTTTTCCTTTGTTTTACTTAAATGTGTGATGACAAAAATGTTCATATAAATAGTAACCACTTTGGGGGGAGAAAAGTTTGGACTCCATTTTAATCATTCATTATTTGTGTTTCATTGCCCTACACCCTTGTCTAGTGGGCGCTCACATCTGTCTGCATCCTGTTGTTCATGATGTCAGTGAAGTGCCTTGGCTCCGTGATTATTGCAGAGCCTGTTGTCATCATTTAGAGCTTCTAGAATATAGGGGTTAGAGCCTGTGTTCCTCCCAGGCAAAACGACGTAGCATGGGGAAGTAATGCAGTACATAGCCGGTTGATTGCTTTCTTTGTGCAGTATGGGTTTTTATAAAAAGAATTTATATATTTCTATTCTGTCACTCAGCCAGCTCCAGCTCCTTAATACTCCTTCCCTAGGAGAAGCTTTAAGGAAAAAGCTGTTGTCATTAGTAAAGTGTCTAATCCCTGATCACAGGTTACTTTAACCTCTTTTTCCCATAGTGTTTTACACTGTTTATGTATCAGAACTGACATACCTTGGCACTTTAATAATGTTTATCATGTTTGACTATTTTGGTATTTCCCACTTATCTCCAGAGGTTATACTTTTTTGGTTATTTTTATATCAATTTATTGCTTATTACATAAACTCATATCCCACATGAGACCTCAGTTTCCACTGTTGTACTTTTTTAAATAAGCAGGTAAGAAAGTTACTTGCATATTTCTTATGTAGTAGAAATACCACCCCATGTAAGTATCTAAAACCCACCAAGTCTGAACACCTATTAAGAGTTTGTATAAAGACAGACCACCACAAAAAGCTGATAATTTAGTAGTGCTCTGTGCTTAGTCTGCCAGTTAACTAAAGGACTAATAGATGCACATTCTGTTCCATCAGTCAGTCTACCGTCACAATAGTCAACGCATAATTTTTTGGAAACTGTATCTATACTTTCTCTTTTATGCGGTTTTAGTTTTATTTATGGCTAGAATTTCAAGTACTGAGTTACCAATAAAATATTAATGGAAGTTAAGGTATGGAAAGGGAACTTAAGTATGTCAAGTTTGCCAGAAGTTTGTGGGTTGTGGTTATATAGTTCCCAAAATCCAGAACACATGTAATAATCTTTCAAGATTAAAAAGCAGTATTCAATATAACATCTTGAAATTTTTCTCCATAATGAAAGTAAATTTTTTAAGGTCAGGCATACCATTGATAGGTTGTTTAGTTTGGGATATTTTTCCTACTCTCATTTCACAAAGACAGTAGGAGACCTAGTGTTACCACCCAGCCTTGAAACAATAAGTATTTCATACGCAGAGGTCTTATTCCCCCTCCCACCCAAAAGCCATCCTTTAATCAAAAGCATTTTTTCTAGCAAACACAAGTAGGTTTTTTCCTTTTGTTTCTGTTCTCATTGGTACATTTTATTTAAGGTTTTGTTTTCTCCTTTAAATTCCATTTTTATAGCATATTCTGCTCCAGTGTCAGAAAAAAATTATCACATTACATTATTTATATATAGTGATTATTTCATAAAACAAAAACCCCATAAATTATTGTTCAAGTGATACTGTCTTTTTTTAAATCCTCACCCAAGGATATGTTTGTTGATCTGGGAGAGAAACAGAAAGAGACAGACAGACATCAGAAAAAGAAACATCCTTCAGTTGCCTTAAATACTCACCCTGAACAGGGATCAAACCTTTTGGTGTATGTGAGGGTGCTCCAGCCAGCTGAACCATCTAGCCAGGGCGGTTCTATTTTTTAATATGCTGGTGCCCATATAGTAGTATGGTGAATTTTTTTTATGACATTTTTTAAAAGATTTTAATTGTTTATTTTTTGGAGAGGGAAAGGAAGGAGAAAGAGAGAGGGAGAGAGAAAAACATCAGTGTGCAGTTGCTGGGGGCCATGGCCTGCAACCCAGGGTTGTGCTCTGACTGGGAATCGAACCTGCTATACTTTGGTTCGCAGCCCGCGCTCAATTCACTGAGCTACACCAGCCAGGGCTGTGAGTTTTTTATATATGTGATTTTGGCCATTAGGTGCTTAAGTTGAGATACAGAATAATGGATGTGGGTAGATACTCGTTTTTGTGGCCCACATATCAAATGTAAAATGCAGCGACTGTGGAGACAAATTGACTTAACCTTTGTTTCTAAAATAGTGAGAGGGAAGAATTGAGGTTCTACTGGAGGGTGAGCTTCTCTGCATTGTAAAACTAGGCAGCATTTACAAGTGTACACATAGTAGTTAGTAGAAAAGGCGTGTTTAGAAGTTTCAACAGCAGGGGGCTTGTTTTGAATTTCATCTCCTTTATTCGCTGACTTTAATATTGTGGTAAAGAAGTAGCTGTTTTGATACTAAAATATTAGAAAGACATTTGTGATAATAACAGTACACACATAAATTTTCTCTTTTTGTCTTTCAGCCATAATGAAAGGAAAGTGACCTGTAAACACCCAGTCACGGGACAACCATCACAAGACAATTGCATTTTTGTAGTGAATGAACAGTAAGTAAAGAGTTTTGTGGAGCGCCACCGTGCAAAATGCAGTAAGCATTGCAATTGCCGTCACCCTTATTGAGTCTAGTACCATTTCACAGCTTTCTTACCTGGATATTTGCAGTCCAGTGTAATAACAGAATGACAGCTGTTTACTGTGTGTGGTATAGAAACATGACAAAATAATTTTTCTATGAGGACTGTAATTCAGAAGATGTTCTTCCAATAGTTCAGAAAGAGATAGTTGAAGGGCCCAGGGTGTAAGGTCCGAAATTGTAAACTTGATCAGATTGTTAAACTAATTTGAGCTCAGTTTTCTCATCCTTAAGTCACAGATAGTGGTAATTACCATTTCTCAGGATATTTTTAAGCATCAAATGAAAAACATGTGAAAATGTTTTATACTATAAATCTGTTCACAAATATTAGTTATTGATATCATTGTTGTATGAGATACTTGTAACTAAATTTTTAAATCTCTAGCTGGATGCCCAAGTAGAATATCTGTAATAATAATTATTAAAATAAACATGATATTAATTTATGTTGTAATTAGGAGAAGTGTTAGTAATATTCAAAGTAGTTGTAAATACCAAGTCCTGGCTCTAGAACTCGGGAAACTCTAGGTAGATTGCAGCTTTCCTGTAGGACACCCACATTGTTAAGTCAAGGGAAGCTTTATTGTGAAGCACTTCTCGTGCACAGCAAGTTCTAGCACTCTGACATGTATTTCCAGGACTGTTCCAACCATGACATCTGAAGAAAAGAAGGAACGACCTGTAAGTATGATCAACGAAGCTTCCAACTATAACATGACCTCAGATTATGCGGTACATCCACTGAGCCCTGTGGGCAGAGTAAGTTATTTTGCTTACTGTTAATTATTGATAGCTGGTATAATTGGTGCTCTTAATGGGTTTTAGAATTATAGAACAATCACTTCATTTTTATTATTACATGAACATAATTACATTCTAGGTAATTGACATAAGCAGTGGCTTAGAATATAAAGTAGTAAGATTATATTTTAATGATTGAGTGACTTAAATTTTTAATTGTAGATACACACAGTGATATTGGTTATCTTAGAGGCTTGTGAGTAGGGATTGTTTGGGTGCTCCCAGGGGTGAGAAAGAAATAGACTGGCCCTTATATATCTTGTTGTGTCATTCAAGTTTTATACTGTGTTTAAGCATTGAAAGTAAATTAAAATTTATACAAAAAATGCTTTAAATAAAACAAAACAAAATAAGGTAAGGTAGATTTCCAAAGATTCTAAGTAAGTTGAAAAATAAGAGATGACTTGATATTATTTACTTTTGTACAAAAACTAAAGTTCAGCTTCTTTGTGTCTATTTTTGTTGGTTTCTGATACCATTTGTACCAAAATAAATCTTTATGCTAAATATAGCAGTATCTTAAACAACTTTATTGCCTTATGTGTACTTTTAAGAATATAGTAAACACCATCTGTCTGGTGTCATTCAAGTTCAAAGTTGTCCATGACATTAAGCAAATCCTTCCAGTCTTGTTTTGACTTAATGCGTTATGTTTATATGTTTGTTTATGTTTTACACCTGAGTAATTTCTCTTGTGACTCAACACCAACTTCCTTTAATTGAAACAAAACTACTAAAAGTAGATAGAAAGCAAAAAGTTCTGTCTTTTGGCTTAAAGATTGATTAATAATTTTTACACCAGGTTTATTCAGTTTATATCACAGATAGGACAAATACTGTCCTTTTTAAAAAATTGTATATCCATATTTTAAAGGAGTGATGGGTAAAGCTTGGCATCCTTGTGTAACACCCTGGGGAAGAAGTGTTTGCACAGAATTTATAACACTTGAAAGAACTAAGCCAGCAAACACAGGATTGCAATAATTCATCTGAAAAGACTTAAGTCCCGCAAGTTTCAGAGGAATCTGGAAAGAGATTAAAACTGTGAAGATGAAAAATATCTCAAACTCAAGTATCTAATCAGTAACAACATATTGTGCCTTTTTCTATTTAGACCTCACGGGCTTCAAAAAAAGTTCATAATTTTGGAAAGAGATCAAATTCAATTAAAAGGAATCCTAATGCGCCTGTGGTGAGACGAGGTTGGCTTTACAAACAGGTAACTTCTTTTTCCCATTTAATATAGAAAGGACAGAATCTAAAGGCACTTTTTGTGGGGGAGGGGGGCTCCTCTCCTAAGACATGTTCCTAAGATACTTAATATAAAATGGAGAGGAACTGTGAAAAGGTTGTGCAGATTTTTTCACTTCTAGTTACCACTGAGAATGTTAGGGAATGACTAGAAAGAAAAAGTAATGCCTGTTGACTTAGAACAGAGACTGTACATTTGTTACAGGTATTTCTAGATTTGAAGTTAAATATATGCTGTAAGAAATGTTAGGGTTAACACCCTTAAATTATACAGGCAGAAATATGTTTTAAATGGGAAAAAACCATACAGAAGTATTGTTCATTTTTCTATTTTTAAAAAAATCATTAGAGAAATGTACAAGTATATATATACCCCTAGGTGCTTTAATTTATAGAGACATGTGATCATAATTTAAGATTTTTCTTTAGATGTTTGCTTCTATGTTCTCAAAACTAATTTCTTAAGTGTTTATGCTGGGTCTTCCGCCCCCCCCCCCTTTGTTTTCTTTTCCTGCTTGCTGAAACATGGTTCATTCTCAGGCACCCTGATAAGTGGATTCAGACTGTTCTGGTGTCTGGGAAACCTGATGACTAAGCTTTTTTAGAACTTTGTTACTAGTTTTGTAATTAGCAAGGATGCATATACATTGGGCTTTATGACATCTATTTTGACTGCTTATAGGCTGCTGCTTTCTTTTTTTAAATTCTAGTTTGCAGCTGGGTTTCAGATAACTGACCACCAGATAACAGAGATGATGATATTTGGGCATTCAAGACCTTTATCTGTCTTCATTCTGTCTCTCTGATTCTATATGTATATATAGGTGATACATTGGTTAATGGTTCATTGGTGGTGCACATTTCTCCTGTCAAATATTGCTAATTGCTTTCAGATGACCTAATGATTCTGTTTAGTAAAATTCGTAATGAATTTGATATGAAGCATTCATTAGACATTGTTCCCTCTGAAAGCTGGATGGCAGCTAAGCTAATGTATTAGAAGAAGCCGTCCTAAAGATCATTTACTATATTTTAACCATCTGATATTTAAATTCACCCAAACTAAAAGATTTTTTAAACTAGTCTTTCTAATAAGATCACATTATGTGCAAATAACTCAGTGCCATATTGACCCTTATAGAGGTTATGGAACTCCTTATTTAAAATGATTCTTGTTTCTTGATCCCTTGATTAATTTAGTGTTGCAGGAGTGGCACCAATTTCTCTATTGTGAGTGTTTATTTTGTAATAGGTGTGTGACCCACAGAGAGTATTTGTTTGCTTAAATATCTAGTTTTTTAAAATTAACTGTCGTAAAGGAAGAGGCTATAAATAGGAAATTAAAAATGCCATATGCCATTTTGGATTTTTTTGTCCTTTCTTTGGTGTAGCTGTCAATTTTAAGAATAAATCTTTTACTTCAAGAGATATTTATCCACATAATATTTTTGAGTTCTAAAGTCATTAAATAATGGTCACAACTAGAACTAAGTTAAGAGGATCAGCCAATGCACATGCAAACTGGCCTCTTTTTTTCTTTCTTTCTTTCTTTTTTTTTTTTTTTTTTGGTGTTCATGTTTCATATTCTGTTGCAGTTTTGCTTCATTGCATGTGGGAAGATAATTTTTATTAAGTTGTAATTTTGTTTGAGCATGGTATTTTCATAAGCTAATAGGCACTCTTCTGTAGGATGAGCAAAATGGAGACTGCATATTTAAGAAGAATTATATGTTTATGAAATGTATTTATATGGTAAGGCTCCTTTAGCACAGTCATTTTAAATCACATTACATTTGGAATAATTTCAATTCGCATGTTTTCTTCTTGTTGGAGATTAACATATTTATTAAATCTGGCTTACCAGAAAGCACGCACTGCTTCATGGTTACATTATCCTCATGCTAGCAGGCGTGTGTTTAGAAGAGTGAATTTCACATTGCTTAGAAATATGGTACCAAATCAGATTGCTTCAACAGTATTCCTTTTCCATTATAGTATTGCCCTTCAGAGACCAGTATTCTTTGGAATATCCTAATATGATACAAGTCCCTAGAAAAATACCCCAAAATTATGATGCTTTGTAGTTAGGCTTCTATTAGCATATATCAAACACACCTTGTTTTTAAAACTTATTTTAAATAAATGTACCAGAAATGAGTTTTAATTTTCTGAAATGAAAAAAAAGTTCTTTAATATGCTGATTTAATGCAGGACAGTACTGGCATGAAGCTGTGGAAGAAACGCTGGTTCGTGCTTTCTGACCTGTGTCTCTTTTATTATAGAGGTGAGTTTACCATGAACTGCCTTAGTGCGTTGTAAGTATAGGATAGTTTTTTAAAGAAAAACATTGTAATTCTTTCTGTTATTTTGTATCAACAAACAGTATCAAGAAAATCTTTTCCTCACTGACTTGCAATACTGAGTGACTGAGGTAGGACGGAAGACGATATACTGTAGTATTTCAGACCGCTTAGTCTGTAATCTGAGCAGGCTGATCTGCTTTGTTGTGTGTGAAGAGCACGTGAAGTTTCACTCTATCGTGTTATCCTTGAATATGGTGCCTAACAGATAAATATCATTAGTTTGATGAGATTCTCTATACACAACGACTTTATCAAATCTGGCTGTACTTCACCATATACCCAGTCCTCCATGGCAGATGATTTTAGAATATCAAAGACCACTGTGATGTATTGGCAAATGAAAAAATTACAAAGAAATGTATTTATTAGGAACCCCTATGGCCCCCCAACTTTTTTACACAGACAATGACATCTCCCTGAACGATGGAGAAAGTTGTAGAAAGAATGCATACCAGGGTATCACTGTCAGCGGAGAGGAAATAAAGGTGTTGTCTTAAGTATGGAGTATCAACTTTCATTTGTCCTATATGGATATCATAAACTCCTTTTTTTGATGTTTTCTGGTTAGTAAGTCACTTGTACAGTTTTAAGGCCATCTCTGTTCATGTGCTCTGTGGACCTGTTAGGTCCCACAAAGTTGGTACCTGACAGTGAATGGTGGACACGGGCTGGGCTCTCCCTGGAAATCTGTTTCAGCTGTAATGAAAAATCATGAATCTGGACAGCCACCTCTTTTCCCTACTTTAAGGTCTCATTCGAAACAGTCACTAAAGAATTGGATTGTCAACATATAGTTAATAATTTATAACTTTTCTAGATAAATGTGTGACAAGATATAATAGGATTTTAGAACCAATTAGCAATTTTAAAATTTACTTTGTGATTATACAAAAAAAAAGTGTGTGAGAATTCTTAGTCATCTATCAAAGCAATAATAATGCATATTGACCCTCACAATGTGAAATTACCAGACTTATATTCATCATTTTCCTCCTCGTGGCGAACTGTGGTTGAGAAGTGCTGCTGAGTCAGGAGTAACCAAACCTACAAAGTTTCATTCTGTCATAGAGATGTTAGTCAGGCTGCGGTTGTGGCATTAACTTCAGTTAAGTGCCAAGCATACTCTACAATTTTCCTTAAAGGTTTCCCCACTCTTTCAGCAAAGTGAGGAGCTGTAACTCAGGCATTATTTCTAAGCTTATAATTTGTACTTTCTTTCTTTATCAGTATATTTATAGACTGTTTAGAGCTTTAAATGGGAATGAGAAAATGTTTATAACTACTCATGTAAAATTTTTTGTTAATTTGCTATAAAAAACAACAGTGAATTCCTTGTAATTTTGCTATTATTGTTATTGCTCATGATCACTGTTATTAAAATAGAAAACCTTTCCAAATAATTTGAGAAAAGTAAGCTATGTTGAGTATGAGGTTCCATATTATGGTTTAGTCATATGTACTTTAAATGCGATGTATTTAATAATTTTATTATGGTTCCCCAGACAGGAGGAATGTTTAAAAAAAAAGAGGGAAGGAAAAAAATAAAGGAAATAACCATTTAACTCACTTCTATTCAGATGGTTGGAGAGAAGTATATGATATACATTTTTACTATTTCATCAACAGGAAATGTCAAATTTTACATAAAAACTATCAAATTTTATTGAGGTGATCATAATAGATTGCATGTGTGTGTGTGTGTGTGTGTGTGTGTGTGTTTACTATAGGCTGAGAACATAACATAAATGATCTATTTCATCTCTTTCTCACAGCCCTCGATTAAGTGAGAAATCTTATGCCCATTCACACAAAAGGAAATTTAGGAACACCAAGGTCAATTTGGTTGCCTGAGGTCTCACCACTAGTAAGTGTCAGGGCCAGAATGTGCACCCAGGCACTCCTCTTAACCAGAAGTGTTTAGCCCCACCCAGATCATCTCCTCTGTATGCTGAATACATTGACTGCATTGATTTTTCAGTATCTCAAAGAACGTAGTATACTAACATGAAGTGTGCTGTCCAAATTTTTTGACAGAGCAGTGCGTGTTTTATAGATAGGGAAAATAAGTGATTTGCTATTTTTAAGAAGTTTTTTACTTGTTATTTTTTAAAGATTTTATTTATTTATTTTAGAGGGGAAGGGAGGAAGAAAGAGAGGGAGAAAACCATCAATATGTTTCTCAGATAGGGGCCTCTTGAATGCCCCCTACTGGGGACCTGACCTGGCCCAGAACCCAGGCATGTGCCCTGACTGGGAATTGAACTGACAACCCTTTGGTCCGCAGGCCAGCACTCAATCCACTGAGCCATCCAGCCAGGGTGCTGTTTTTTACAATAGGTTGGCAACCCATACCAGATGGAAGCCCAAGTTCCCGCTGCTCTTTGCAATATAGCAGGCAGATTGCGAATCCATTGTGCTAAATCACTTGGATTGCTGTATTCTGTAGTCAATCTGTCGACAAAATTTACCATGGAACTTAATTCATTCACCAAGTATTTATTGAGTGGGGCCTGCTTCATATCAAGTGCTGTCAAAACAGCAGTGAGAGAATTTTCATGAAGCTTACATACAAGAGAGGTCAGAGAGGTAGTAAATAAACTCAAATATGAAAGAAGACCATTATAAGTGCTTTTAGGATACTATGATTATATTATGAAAGACTGGTCAGGAGGGAAGTTCTCTTTGGATTGGTTCTCTGGGCTGATAATTTAAGTAACAAGATCTGCATTACAAGGAGAAGCTAGACTGAGCACAGTATTCCGGGCAGGAGGAGACAGAGTGCAAAGACTTAAGGAAGTGGAATGTTGTGAAGAGCAGAAAGAAACCAGTGTACTGGGCCGAGGGGCTGGCAGTAGGGAAGGAGATGGGTGGGAAAAGTAGAGATTGCACCCATGTGGGACTTCACTGGAGTTTGATTCTACTGTAAGCCTAGAAGGAAACAATTGGGTGTTTTGAAGCATAAGAATGATTCAAGCTGCTGTTGGAGAATGGGTTGTAATAAAGGGGAAGGAAGGAATGAGAGGCTATTAGGAGTTGCCGTATAGAAATAATAATAGTCTAGACCAGGGGCGTCCAGCCTTTTAGCATTTCTTGGCCACAATGGAAGAAAAGTTGTCCTGGAGGAAAAGTTGTTTTATGTACTGAATGTCCACACATTCAGTACATTGCGACACATAATCACAAACAAACTCTCATCATGTTTTAAGTAAATTTACGATCTGTGTTGGGCTGCATTCATAGCCATCCTGGGCAGGTTGGACACCTCTGATCTAGATGAAGGGGGTAGCTAGCAGCTAGCTCTTTTGGTGTGTTGGGTGTCTTACTATGTAGAAAGAATGACATAGTGTTCCGTTACATTGAACGAGCATTGACCAGACCTGTACAAGGAAGGGATCAGGAGAGGAGGGCGACCTAGGCAAAGGACTCGGCACGAGTGAACGTGGCATGCTTGTAATTACACCTAGCGCTTACATTGCTGGAATGAAGGTTGTGTCTGAAGACCTAGCAGGGAGTGAAGGCCTAAAAGTAGATCAAGGCATAAAGTGCATATGTTTGCCATTCTAATGAGATTAAACTCCGCCTGAATGCAAGAATAATAATTGGATCAAGTGTGTATTTTAGAAAAATCACCCTAGCAGTTAAAGTAGAAGCCAAGAGAACAGTTAACACAGTGTTGAAGTATTCTAGGTGAAGAAGGATAGTTAGTAGTAATATTTCAGTCTATAAGTTTGTATGCATTCCTTGTCTTGCTCTCAGATGTCTTTAAAGCTTAGTGAAGTGGGGTATCTGAAATGACACTTGAATCCAATAAAATGATGAGATTCGTTGGTTCCTGCCTCAGGTTGTGTTCCCCAGGAAGCAAGCTCTATGAGGGAGATTGAAGTGCCAGAGCCTTCCTGGGGAGTGTTCTAGGGGCCTGGGGACCACTCCCTGTGGCAGGACAGAAAGGAAGTTGGATGGGCAGAGGGAGAAGTTGGGTTGCTGTGGTCTAAAAGGCCCAGCTGAGTCCCACAGAGAGTTCGTTCATTCTATAAACATTGTTCCCTCCCTGCCCTTTGCCTGGTGGTATGTGATACCCTCTGGGAGACAGAAGGTAAGACAGTAATTCAGGTCAGGCCGGATAGAGAACCAAACAGGAGAATGCCCTGATTAAGAACAAAAGAAGAATCTAGTGATGAACTCATAGGATGGTCATTTGACAGAAAATGAAGGTTTTTACATGCAGTTTCTTTAATTTTATATAATAATGGCAGTATTCATACGGGTACAGTACATTATTGTCATGTCTATTAACTAATTTAACCCTCGCAACAGTTCTGTGAGGTAAGTCCTATTTTCCTCAGTTTGATGGTTGATGAAAGTGAGATTAACTTGACTGAGACCTCACAGTTACTTAGTGTCCAGGTGGGAAGTAACCCGTGATAATACAGTGAAATCATCCTGTGCTGTACTGCCTCTGCGTATTCTGGAATAACTTCAGGAAAGTCAATTTTTCCAATTATGCAACAAAGAAGAGTATGTTATTTGATAATGATTTTTTTTTTACTAAAGATGACTTCATGAGCTGTTTTCTGATTATATGCTTTATACAAACAAAATTGGATTTAAAATTATGTGACTCATTCTTTTAAATTGTCATATTCACTATAATTGATGAGCATTTTGTATCTTTTTTTTAATTTTTAGACTAAATGTGCACTTTTGTTCATTCTTTCATTTTGTGGACTACAACTGAATGAGCACAGTATATACTAAAAGCAAAATTTTGTTCTATTACGAGAAAAACTACAGAAATAACATCTATCTAATGCAGCCTTTTTTGTGGTTGTTTTGGAAGCTTGCCATATATTCTAGAAATGAGGGCAAAAATCCCTTCTTAAGTTTATGATAATATTTGGGAGTAAAAGGGAGAAAACTGTACTTGAACAATGATTAAAATTTAAAAAGTTTATGGTAATAAAAAATGACAAGCAAAATAATAAATTATTTCTTACAGTTTTTCATATTGATAAACTCATCAGCCTAATGCATGGCTTTATTAACTTGTGGGTCTCTAACAAGGAACTAATATATTTCAAGTTTTATCTACCCCCAAGCAGAAAGTTAATAATGTGAACCTATACTATGCCAAAATTAATGTTTTGTCATTTTCCTAAGTCTATTTTATGTACTTGTCTTGTAGGCCTGTAACTTATTCTCATAAATTTGTTCTGTATCTGAATGACTTGGAAAAGCAAACCTTCAAGGTTATATGTTCTAAAAAGCATAGAATTTTTATAGTATAGTTTAAAATATATATTTGCATATATGTATTTATTTGTTTAAAAAAATTGAGCCTCTACAACTCAGGAATTTATGTTCTAGTGGGGAGAGAGAGGTGATAAGTAACTAAAACATACCATGTGTCAGAGGCGTTGAGGGTGGGGGGGCGGTAAAGCTCCAGGCAGAGGCAAGAGCTCTGGGATCACTCTGTACAGAGGCCGTTTAAAGTGGGTAAAGGAGTGTCTTGCCAGTGAGTCATCTGAGCCCAGACTGAAGGATGTGAGCAAGTGAGCTGTGCATTTATCTGGGCTCAGAATTGTTGGGCATTTAAATCCTCATAGAAATGTAGGTAGATTGATTTCGTAAAGTTCTGTGTCATTACTTATATGGCTAATATTTTCAATAAATCACATGTCCAGGGCTTTGTGAAATTCAGTTTATATGCCAAACAAATGTCTGCTGTTTTTATGTCTAACTGACATTTTTCTGATGCATGGGACCAATTTTGATTAGTTTAGGGTAGAGAAGTTTGTTGAAAGTAAAGAATATACTTCTGTATTTAATATTTTTCCTTAACACTTTATGAAGTACTAATCTATGTAAATAGTACATGAATACAGTTCATTCATGATTTTGTCTAAATAAATGTTGAGAAAATTTATTCTGCTCCATGACAACATTCAAAATTGTAATTGGATGTTCACTTATTTCTTAGATGAGAAAGAAGAAGGTATCTTGGGAAGCATACTATTACCTAGTTTTCAGATAGCAATGCTTACCTCTGAGGATCACATTAATCGCAAATACGCGTTTAAGGTAAGGAAATAGTCGTACTTTGTAATTCTGTGTATCAATCTTGCACTGATTAAAAAATGGATATTGGTCCATAGATTATTATAAAATGTTACTTCAGTTACAGTCGTTTTTATATTTAAAAATATATTAATGGTCTTATGGTTGAGTAGCAAAGTGTCCCTTAATTAGGAAGCACATGCTCAAATATTTAGGAGCAAAGTGTCTTTATGTCTATACTTGCAAGTGGATAAAACAAATATGATAAAATGCTAACAATTGGTAAATATACTTGTAGGTGTCCTTTGGATCATTTTACTAACTTTTAAAGGTTACTATATGTCTGAATTTTTTTCAGAATAAATTTGGGGAGAGAATATTATATGAGATAAAAATATTATGCTATTTTTTAACTATATATACAATTATAATCTTATAGAATATTTGCAAAGGTTTTTGGATCTGAGTACATTGTGAACATGAGATACTTTTGAAAGAATATTGAAGTTGAGGCGTAAAATTTATTACTAAAGCAAGTTGACCTAAGCACCACCAATGAGAAGGTTTATATCATTATAAAATTGATCTAATTTTTAATTCACATCCACTGGTTTTTTTAACAGTTTACTTTCAATTTTATTTTGTATCTGTTTCAGGTAGACAGCTTAGTGGTTAGATAGTCACACACTTTACATAATGCTTTCTTTCCCTGGTATCTCCAGCACCTAACTGGCACCATGCCTAGTAATCACAAAATTATTGACTATATTCCCTCTGCTTTTCTTTACATCCCCATGACCGTTTTGTAACTTCGCATTCACTTCCAAAAAGCACTTGATGCTGGCTGATTTAAAACTTTTGCTAAGTGACAGTATTAGCTCCAGAGCAAAAAAATCAGGAAAGATATCAGGGTGGTAGAAGCGATGGGTGGGCTCAATGAGAAGCTAAAATTTGAACAAAGACCTGTGGATAAGAGGGGAATCGCTTCATATTGCAATAAATTCCATTAACAATGTTACTGGAGAAACAGTTATTTTAATAGCAAAGCTTAAGGCTGATAATTTAAAATAACTTTAAAAAATACATACACATATAGACCTGTGTGATAGTAACACTGTTATTTGGCCATGGGTTTAAACATTGTTAGCTTATTAATTCAGCAAATGTTTGAACTTGTACTATTTGTAGGGCATTTTGTTAGGTTCTTAGACTCTTTAAAAAATCCTGGATTGTTAAAATAGCAATAAAAGTGACTGTTAAGTATATTTTCTCTGTAATGATTTGATTTAATTTAAATTTTATCTGTAACAAGGATAGTAATTTCTGTTTCAAATTCTCTTTTCTGCAATGTTGTTTCCTCTGAATTTATGAGCCACTTTTACTACTAAGTCGGTTGACATTGATGCTACTGCTTATCACCATGGTAAGTAGGAACTTCATAGGCGGCTGTTGAACACAGTTGTGGAATGTAGTGCTGGACAGGGAACTTTGCCATCATCTAGCAAATTGCCCCTTAGCATGCTCTCTGAGTCACAGCTACCACTGGGTCTTCTCAGCACTCAGTCAGTGCTCCTTCCGTTGATCACAGATGTGGGCTGTGGTCTTTATTCAATTCTCCCAAAACCCACTCAAGACAGTCCAGTGATGCTTTGTGGTGGTTTTCATTATTTTTAACATGTAGCATTTGAACTCTTTCTATAGATAGTTTTATCTTTTACAATGGTCAAGTGAGATTTGTGGATTATATAGTTATTTTGAGCCCTGGATTTATTGAGTTTATTTATATTCTGATTCTTTCTGAAAAAGATTTTGAAGAAGTTAATTTGACATTGTTGATAAGCAGACAGTGAAGATATTGGAGTAAAGTATGTGGCTCCAGATTTATTCCTCTCATCTTCTTGTATTTAGCAGACTAACTCCATATTTAGTACGCTTCCCTTTACCTCTTATGTTTGTACACAGGTGTTTCTAAGGATTAGACACATAAAACCGCACATTTTGAGGACTAAAGGAATGACTAGCAAGGGGAAAATAGTATGCTGTGTACATTTTGATTACTTTTGTTGCTGGTTGCTCTGGGACGTTTTTTAATAAAATGGTATGAATTATAGAAATGGAAATTACTAGGGATTTGAACATGGAACGGGCACAACTAAGTGCTTCTTTTTTTACCTTTCCTTCCCATTCACTTTTTTTCATTATAAAAGAAACATTATAAAGTTAGGAGGGAAAAAATTAGTATTTATATATTTTTCAAGATCGAATTATATTTTTCTCAAGTCATTTAATTCTCTATCCATAGATAAGACAGGTCTGCTCTTCTGAAATTTGATGGTAATGATCTGTGCACAGAGCTCTTAACTTTCTTTTTCCCTTACAGATCCCATGTTCCTGTTTAAAGTGATCGTGTCGTTTTCAATCAGGCAGCCCACCCGAACATGCGGACCTATTACTTCTGCACTGACACGATAAAGGAGATGGAGCTGTGGATGAAAGCCATGCTAGATGCTGCCCTGGTGCAGACAGAACCTGTGAAAAGGTAACGGCTTGTAGGGGAAATAACGGTGGTTTCCACTTACATTTGTTCCATGCCTTGTAAGTATGTCATTGTCACAATGCATACCATTTAGTAGTCAGGGAATGAGGTCATTTCTTTCTCAGAAAACAAGGATTAATTCATGTCCTCTATGAAATCGATGCCCCTTTAGTTAGTTGGGAGTACCACCTGCATTTTTATTCCACCTTCCCCCTCTACTCATTTTCACCTATCAGTGTACTGAGGTGAATCCAGAATTCTAACATTCAAACTGAATGTTCTTTCTTCTTACAGAATTACCTTTAATTTCCGGTAAGTACATTTTTTTTAATTGTTTTCTTAAAACTTCACAAGATAGTGTTCTTTAAGATCCTAATTCTTAGGAAAAAGTTTATATTCGTGAAGTTAATTTTACTGTGGTTTTCAAAATATAGTGTATATTTTTGAATTTTAAAAAATTGAAATAAAATTTTGTGATGAGTTCTGTGTCCCCACCCCCACCCCAGCATTTCCTGGTTAATTCTGATTGTTTTATGATGAAGGTCTCCAGAAAACAGGTTAACAAGCATTTAGATTATGTCTGAATATATCTCTTTCTGGATGAATTCTTCCTTCTTTCTTTTGAAACTTCATTACTTAGGTTCTTTCATAATATAAATAAGACCTGTGTGATTTTTTTCCCCCTGCTTGAACTTGGACCATTTCAATATTAAACTGTATTACATTAAGAGCTAGTGAGAAGAAATCTGCTTCTAAAAATATGTAAATAGCAGCTGAATAATGTTCTTTAAATATTCCTATAATTTGAAGAAAAATGTGTGATAAAGTTTTTTTTTCCCAGTCAGTGATAATTGAGTACATATTATAAGGAGAATACTAACTTATAATTTTGGGGTTTTGGGGTTTTTTTTTTCTTCTCAGAATAAAGGGAATTGTTAGTGTAAATCTTCAGTCTTTTTGTGTGTATGCATATATAGTCTTACAACTTATTTGTTAAAAGACTTAAGTTGATGCTATATGTTTGTTATTCGAAACAACAAGTCCAAAGTAACTTAACCAGCCACTGGTGATTGCACTATGGGAAAGTATGGAGAAAAAAGAAGGAAGGCCAGTGTTGAAGGGTAGGGCACATATTTTTTAAGAAAAACCACCTCAGTCATGCATATTCTAAATTGAGAGCAAGGAATTCCATTTGTTAAAATGACTGGAAGGACGTAACAATGAGGTGCTCAGCACTGATTGCTAAAGAAAATAATGCAGGTGAAAAGAATTCATTTGAAGATCTTAACTGTAATTTTCACTTCAGAGTAAAACTGTTAGGGAATTATTTCGAATACAGGAATCAATATAATTAAAACTTTCGCTGTCCAGATAATTTCAGCATTATATGTTGTGCTTGCCTCAGGATTTTAATTAACTATTCTTTTCTGGTACTTCGCATTCAAAAAACCAAAAATCACTCATAATTTAGGTTGGTGAAGATTACAGTCAGTATTTTCCTGTGATTTCTGACAACCTACTGGTTGACCGTGTGCCCGTAACAATTTTTGGCCAGTTGTGCAGAAGTGATTTGCTTGGTTAGCCAGGAATCACTGACCCACCACCCTGTGTGCCTAGCCTGGTGTCAGTCACCGTTACCGTGTAGAAATTACTTTTTATTCTACCTGCAGCCATTACACTGTTATCCTACCTGTTAATATTGATTATTAAAATTGTAGGTACCTAATTGTTGTCATAATTCATTTAATTAGTTTTGAGAGATTTCTTTTTTCTTTTTTTTTGTTTGCTTAGTTTTAGGGTAATGGGCTTTCCCATATGGCCAGAGTACGTAAAAATATTTATTAGGGCATATTACCTAAGAGATAAAGCATAGGGTTTTTAACTAGATAGTTTGTTTCTTCTGAATTCATAGAGTGTTTTACCTGCAAACGACAATAGCTTAGTCCCCTCCTCTGCAGATCGCTGATACGCACATACAGAACATACGGAACAATACAGGCATAGTACACATTCTCCCAATTTCCATCTTTGAGTTTATTGTCCATTTACTATATTTCCATGTATCTTCTGTGATAACTTAAATGTCACTTTTTAAAAGTAGATCACAAGTTTCACATTGTTTATGTTATCCTAGCATACATGTTTGAATCAGTTTTATTCCACTTAGAGAAAAGTCAGCGTGTGACTTTTTTATTACATTTATTAAGTGATAAAGAGAAAAAGGCAATACAGGTCTGGTTTAAAATGTAGCTTTAGGTAGGCTACAAGTAACTAAGTTTAAAAAAATCTTTTCAGATATTTGGTATTCAGTATTAAAAATCCCCTCCCTGCCTCCAAATTTAGCAAGGATGGACGTGCTTTTTGTGTAAGTCTTTTCTGTTGTCTTTCAAGGGAAAGAAGCTCCGTAGCATATCTTAGTAAACTTTCTCAATTATCTAATACTGCTTTCAGCCTAGATACCATAAGTTTTATCTAACCTAAATATCTGGCTAGTCCATGACTTTGCTCTAAGACAAACAGTCCTGTTTCATCTTTGGCTCACTGATCATATGCAGACTGCCCTTCTGTAGCTGTATATTATGGATTATTTTCTACACATCTCTGAAACTGGCAGCAGTGACACACTTAGGACTCAATATGAAAGTTTTTATGCATTATAATGTGGCCAGTCCCTGAGAGACTTCCCAGTGTGGCTTGATCTTGGCAGTTTCATGCAGGTTCAGACACTCGCTTGGTCTTTTCAGAGCCTGGAAGTGACTGATCTCAGGGCAGCTGATTCTCATCAAAAAGACCTAGATATAGCTAGCAACTGGAATGGTGAGCAGTAAACAGTCCAGTGGTCCAGACACACGCTGTAAGCAGCACATTCTTCTGGTGAGAGGTGGACTTGGGGTGCCAGATTCTAATCAGAATTGCTTGATGAGATGGAGTGATAATAGTAATAATGTCTATGGCAGCCACCTATTCCTCATAACAGCTTATAACCTTGGTGCTACAGTTCCCCACTTCCCAAAAAGGAGATTGAGGCACAGTCAGTTTCTACATCTGGCCCCAAGACAGACAGACATGGCTAATAAGAGGTAGAGCTGGGAGCTGAATATGTGCATTCGGCTCCAAGAGCTATTAACCGAAACTCGGGTCCTCTTAAATACAGAGTTGGTTAGTCATGTGGTCCAGATCTTTGGTAGCACCAGGCTATAATTTCCTGGTGGAGTCATTTCCACAAACCAGCCTCATGATTGTCTCATGATGAGCTGACCTTCCTGGCTAGAAGCCATTTTGTTTATTTCAAGTGACTAGATGCTGTGGTCCTTCAAGTGTGGAATTTGTGGTTTCACTGCGAAAGGGCAATTTTATGTGCTTTATTTCCAGATTTTTAATGGTGGGGACACTTACCACTTCACTTTTTACCCTCCAGTGCTTTATACACTGTACACTTTGTTTCCTACCACAACCTTGGGGGTTTGTGCAGGCCTGTCCTCTGTGACCCTTTCAGGTTTTTTTTCTAAAGTAAAAGGTAATTTTACATTTTTTTCCTAGATTGAATCCCAGAAATAATATGTCTGTTATTTCATCTGATTTGCTATGATTTTCTTCTCTGATTTCAGAGTGGACAAGATTACATCTGAAAATGCACCAGCTAAAGAAATCAATAACTATCCCAACCACAGAGTGCTCATTAAACCAGAGGCCCAAAATAACCAGAAAAACAAGGAAATAAGCAGAAATGAAGAAAAAAAGGCATTAGAAGCTGAAAAATATGGATTTCAGAAGGATGGTCAAGATAGACCTTTAACAAAAATTAATAGTGTAAAGTTGAATTCTCTGCCATCTGAATATGATGGGTCAACATGCCCAGCTCAGACTGGACACTACAGGCCAGTCAATGTGAATAGTTTAGAGAACAAAACTATCAATGTGAGCCTGGCAGATCTTAAAGGTGGAAGTCAACCAAATACAGGGCCCTCACATACAGAGGCTGACCGAGTCATACAGAGAACCAATTCGATGCAGCAGCTGGAACACTGGATTAAAACCCAGAAGGGGAGGGGTCATGAAGAAGAAGTCAGGGGGTAAGTGTCTTGTTTTTACATGTTATAAACCCAGGTTTCTTTCATGCTGTGTTGGTGGAGATCAGTTTCTAAGATACCAATTAAAAGGATTCATTTAGCCCTGGCTGGTATGGCTCAGTAGATTGAATGCCAGCCTGTGAATCAAAATGTCACCGGTTCACTTCTTAGTCTGGGCACATGCCTGGGTTATGGGCCAGGTCCCAGGTTGGGAGTGTGCAAAAGGCAACTGATCAAAGTTTCTCTCCCTGTCTTTCTCCCTCCCTTCCCCCCTCCCTTCCCCTCACAAATAAAATTTTTTTTTAAAGTATTCACTTACATTGTGATTTAGATATTATAGTTTCATTACTGTATCTTTTTTATAGTAGTCAAATATAAGTGTTTTTTTTTTCTCTGTTTCCCACCATTGTCATCAACTGTACTAATCGTGATGAGCAGTTATTCTCCCTTAGCCCAGCCCAAGAAAAGGTTTCAGTTGTGGGCAGAGATTTTGTTTGTTTGGGAAGAGGAAGGGGGGACTGGCTGCCTTCTGTCAGTAACTTGTGCAGCCTGATGCAATGCAGAGATCTGAAATAAGTGACAGACACAGTAATGGCTTATGCTCTCCAGTTCTCCATCTCCTTTCCTTCTCAATTCATACTGCGCATGACTAGGTATTGTATTTATTCATTCCTGCACACACTTGTTCCTTCACACTTCATGTTAAGTACTGTGTACTAGCCATGGGGCCAGAAAGCAAAATGATGAAAAGGTGTAGTCCACATTTCTCGCAGAGGCTCTTATCTAGGAGTGGAGAAAGGGAAATGTACAAGTGCAGTGTATCGTGACCGTGGAGGAAGAACAGGATGCTATAAGACCACATTTCAGGGACCACAAACACAATTTAAGCGTTCACGAACACCTTTCTGGAGGAAGAGAAAACAGTTGACATATGAAGGATAGTGTGCTTATGTTAGTTTAGATGTGCAGGACCCCAAATTAGAGAGCAGGGAAAGGATATCCAGTATGGCTTAGGTGCAACTGCTGTGGTGCCAGATGAGGAGCAAGGCTGGAGAGGTGCGCTGGAGTAGATGCATTCAGGTTTGTGTTTCAGAAGGATGAGTCTGGCTGCAGAATCTGGAGAACGAAGTGGAGGACATTGAAAAGCTATTGGAGTAAGGGAAATGAGGAGAGGAAGGCGATGTGTTCAAGCTTCAACTGACAAGTCTAGTTGAGTGTTCGAATGGGCTTGATTGCAAACTATTCTCACTAAGTCTCGTTGGAGTGATTGGTCAAAATCAAGAAAGACTCCCTGGTCTTCGTTGGGCCTGAACGTGAAGGGTTGTCTGGTGCCTTTTACTGCATAGAAAAGATTTGGGAAGAGAGAAGGTCATGAATGATTTGGACAGGTTAAATTCGAGGTACTGGGTGTTCTGTATCTCTGAAGAGAGATCTGGACTTGAATGAGGTTGCAGCATCCTCATTATATCACAAGTACTGAAAGGTAAGGATGAGAGTAGATAAGTTCATCTGGCAGGAGGCTGGATAAAATAAAAATTCTAAGGGAAAATCTGAAAAAATACTTATATTTAGGGGAGTAGGGTGTGGTCCACAAAGGAGAAGAAAATGAAGGCCAGAGGATATGGAGGAAAAATAAGTGCCTGTGGGATGATAAAATGTGTCATTAGTCAGGAACTTGATGATGCAAAATTTTTAAAAATGCTCCAGTGCACTAGTGTACACATATAAAAATTAACTGAAGAGTTACTGTAACTCTTACCTCTCAGTAATAGAAAGCCAGAAAACAATGGCATTAAAGTTTTGATTAAATGAAGATGAACTGGTTTTAATAGTGAAACTCCTGAAGTACAGGAAAGTTCAAGCAATTTGCTGGGCGGCCGTGGCCGTGGCCGTGGCCGACGTGTGCGGTTGTGGGCGCCCCAGTCTCTCTCTCAGCAGTGCAGCTCAGAAGCCCGGGTGCACTTGGCTTCGTCCTTTGTGCTCACAACCACGGCTGCAAAAACCTTCTCCTGTGATGTTTTATTCGCTTCCCTACTCTTCTTTCTCTCCCGCAGTGTTTACTTGCCTAGTTTTCCCAGAGGAGAAATGTGAGAAATATTTCCTATTTCAGAAATAAAATTTGATTAGATAGAAGAGAAGCCAGAGGTAGTTCTGGGAAGAAGGAAGAAAGAAAAAAAAAAAGAAAGAAAAGAGAGGGTGTTTGGAAATACTTACTAAGGTTATAATCATTTTCAGGAAAACAATAATAAAAATCCCAGCAAGAAGACTTACAGAGTCTGTGCCCAGCATAAAATCTCACTTCTGGAAGTTCTTTTTAAAATTGTTGAGCATAAAGATTAGTTTCCAAGCACTTTTAGGTCCCTTGATGGATATAGCTAACATACATAAAGGCTTTTTGTGACTCTTTTCTTTGAAGGCAGACCTGCAGCATTGAAGCCTCGTCTCAGGTTATTCCGAGCTCATGTTTTCTCTACACTGGTCTTCCAACTTCGGGTTCACTGGCCAGTGTCCAGTTTGGCTCATGGAGATATATCATCAACATTACTACACAAACCTCATACTGAAAAAAAAAATAGTTGTGATGTTTTATAATGAAATAATTTTTATTGGTGAAAAGAAGCCCAATGTATTTCGTAAAACTTTTTGAAAGGCTGGCTTTTATTGTTAAAGTTCTGGTAGAAAGAAAACAGGTTTAATGCGTAGTCAAATAGTAGACCCCTGTGTCTGTGAACAGAACATTAACGTGTCCTTGTGAGTGGCAGCTTGTGAGTGGCAAGCACTGTTGCAATGCGAGGTGCCTTACGCCATTGTTCTGCATGGCAGAATCACAGGGGCTGGGTTTTCATGGTGCTTGACAGGCAGCTGCTGGTGAATGGAACACTAAACCTGATGAGGGAGCTTACAGTGTGCATTTCTTAACGCTTTCACTTAAAAGTAAATCACATTTTTGCTGAATTTGAATTTCTTTGGAGAAGACCACTGAAGGAAACTGCAGTTTTGGAAAAACAGGTCTCAAAATGCCTAGATAGTAGTATATGGGATAAAAATAAACTCCCTTGATAAATAACCTATTTTTAAAAAATTCCTCAAAAGTGGTCCCAAAAATGGCAAAAGAGCCTTTTCAACTTTGTAGCCATTAATTAGTCAAGCTTAGTCGACATCAGCCTGTGTTAATGACCGTAGATGGGGTTATGGGTCAGACTCACCATGCATCTCTGCAGCAGGGTGCAGTTCACACATTATGCGTGCTTCAGAGCCCTGGCAGAGGTGTTTGGTGTAATTATAGTTTCTGAACTAGAATTTAACATTAGTTTATATGCAGTTTTCAGTGTGGTTTAGATTGACAGTGGTACGCCCCTTCCTTCCATGATTATAAAAGATTTTTTTCACATGTTTTTAAACTTGATATGAAGTTTGTATCATTAATATTTTTTGTATATGCACCTATGATATAGTTTAGTGCCCAATCCAGAGCCTTTTGTGTATCAAGGTCACTATAGTTACTTCTTGAATTTATGAACAAGTAAACCAAGGCATGTGGGGATAAATTACCTTAGTATTAGGGCAGAATTTCATGGCTGGAATCAACTTTTCCCTGGCTGACAAGCTTCCTATGCAGACAGCCCTGGGTTGCCAACTCTGGATTTTTTTCATTCTCTGGCTTTTTCTGTTTGTTTTTTACTTTTTTAAACTTTTTTTTTTCCTGTTACAGTTGTCCCATTTTTTTTTCCCCTTTCACACCCCTCCACCCAGCTCACCCCTCTCTCCCCCAGTCAGTCCCCTCTCCGTTGTCCATGTCTGTGTTAACAGAGGAGATGGGGGAACAGGGAGGGGACTGTGCAGAGGAAAAGTGGGATGGACAAGTGGAAGGAAAGCAGCAAAGCACTGAACTTTCTCTGCTGGTTATATCAAAGCGCCCTTTAGCATCAGATGGTGGGCCTCACCGAGTGTTTCTTGTCTCAGGGGTTCGTTCAATTTTGAGCAAGCCTGTTTTCAGTAGAAACATAGAAAAGCTAAGGAACAATCAGTATAATGAAGAAATTTAATGTAGGGAAAAGGTTGAAAGAATTGGAAATATTTTGAACACAGAATAAGACAAGAGATGATATTTTAGAGCTATGTAACATAATTTAGTAATGAAATCATCTTCTAGATGAGAAAACCAAATCCCCCAAAATATTCAGTTAGCCAGATTTTGTTAGCATATGAAAGATTCTAGAGTATGTCTCTTCTGGTTTTGGGGTGTCTTTATTTTTAATTAAGTCATTGCGACAGCAAAAGGGTTTTGGTTTTGTTTTTTGTTTTGTTTTGTTTTAATAATTACCATACTTCTGGCAAAATTTAAAAATAGAAGGATCGGTTTACTTTTGCATTAAATCCAAAAGTTGGGGAATCATTGGCATAATGAAAAGAGTGCTGCATAAGGAAATCAGAGGCCTGCACTCTGGTTACAGCTGGCGCAGGGACTCCTAGCCCCAAGCGTTTAAAGGAGTATAATCTCTTGATCTGTTCCCCACCCTGTCCTCTCTACCCGTCTCCCTCAGACACACTCCCTCTTCTCTCTCTCTCTCTCTCTCTCTCACACACACACACACAGTTATATTTATATAACTATATATAAATAATTTTCCAAGTCCCAGAAGGTGTAAGTAATTCACCAAAGTCTCTGTACTTAGTAGAAAAGCAAGAGACAAAACTCGGCCTTTCTGATTTCTGATCAACTGCTTTTTCCTACTTCGTTCTTTTTCTACTGTAGTGTTTTATTTTTCACAGCCTTATCTCTTTCGTGGGTGCTTTAAGCCACAAACACAAGACTTTCTCTGGTTTGTAGAAAGGTAGCATAATTTTACTGCGCCAGTAGGCACAAGTTGTGTGGGGGTTTTTGTGAGCATGCCTCATAGCCCAGTCGCTCCCAACTCATTATACCTGGTCACAATGAAATCTTTGTTTTAGGTGACTATTTATGTATTGTAACTGGCAACAAGTCTCTGGGTCCAAAGAGAACTCTGACATTCCAGATTCCCAGATTCTTCAGAGAATGGTCAAGTAACCTCCACATCAAGTTAGACCTGGGAGACCCTCTCCTTGTAATCACCAACATCTTTGGCATTTTAATACCCCATAGGTGGCAGCAAATCATTAGCAATTATGCATGCACACCTCCAAAATACTCTCATTGTCCAAAAATACAGGAGAAAGGCGTTAAGCAAACAGTGAAAGAAGAGGTCCGGATGCCTGAGTTAGTGGGGTCTCCGTTCTCCTGCGCGCGGTGCGTCGGGTTGCAGCACGCTCGCCGTCACTGCAGTGCGGACGTGAGCCCCTGGGGACGACAGCACACAGTGGATGCTTGTAGTTTAATAGTCGTTCTTTTTAAGCGAGATTTTGGTTTTGTTAGGAAAAGATTATGTTTGCTTTTAGAATTTGAATTGTAATTGTATCTTACACCCACCTCTAGAGGTAATGGAGAAACGGATGCTTACTTTATTTAGAATTTTTAACTGACTTTTTAAAATTCTTTTTACGTAATGGACCTGACCCATCATGCAGTTAGCACAGGATGTTTTTGTATACTCCAAAGAGTGTTTTTATCAAAACGTCATTTTTTTATTGTAAACTGAAATCTTATTTTATTCTTTAATCTTAGGAATACTTAGTAGTATACTATTATATATCCATAACTAAAATTTTAATATTTTGTAAGAACTTTATTTTAGATAATGTATTTGAAGAATTTTTAGATTGCTTTTAAATCTTCCCCAAAATGCAGATAGCACCCATCAAATAGGAAGTTAATTTCTACACCAGAAGCACCGTAAAATTCCTCAGATTTGCAGTTTTATGTCTGAAATGTTATGTTGAAGTATTTTGTCTTTAAATTTTGAGCCTTAGCTTTAAGTCATGTTTATTTTTCAAGTTAAGAAAAGCAGTCAAGGGTAATTATTTTTTAAACCCCAAATGTGCCGATGTGCCCCTTCTACGGTCATGCCGTCTGTGGGAAATGGTGTGGCAGAGCAGTCGCCAGTCGCGGGGGCCTGTCGCGCGGGCCTGCGGTGGTTCGTTTCTTGCCCTCGGGCTCTGCGGCCCGACTCCGAACGCCAGCGTTCCATCCGTTACCGGAAATCCCTGTAGCTGTTCTCGCGAGATGTGTGAGAACGGGATTCTAGGGGTCTGTGTATGGAACAACAAATAACGGTGTGGGGACAGATTAGGGATTAGATAGTGAATATTCCTAGTTCTAAAAGAAGTGCAAATATTTTTTTCTTCTTTAAACCAAACTGTACATTGTGCAGAATTAATCGTCTTTTATGTAAGTGACGTAGATGCTGTTTAGTTAATGTATTAAATCCATCAAATTAAATGTTATAAAATGATTTAAATGTTTTCATTAGTAACTTATACCTTATACAATATTTAATATTTCAATCTTTTAAAAAGCAAGTCCTAATATATATTTTAGTGACCAGAAGGAAAAAATGTAGCCTAATTTAGAATCTGGAAAGCAACTTTCTCCTTCATTTTTACATTTCAATTCTTTCACTGTAGAGTAATCTCTTACCAAACATTACCGAGAAATATGCCAAGCCACAGAGCCCAGATTGTGGCCCGGTATCCTGAAGGTTATAGAACACTCCCAAGAAACAGCAAGACCAGGCCCGAAAGTATCTGCAGTGTAACCCCTTCCACTCACGACAGAGCGGTAGGATCTGGAGCAGAAGAGAAGCGAAGATCAATGAGAGACGACACGATGTGGCAGCTGTACGAATGGCAGCAGCGTCAGTTCTATAATAAGCAGGGCACCCTCCCTCGTCACGGCACTCTGACCAGCCCTAAGACCATGGTTAACATTTCTGACCAGACAATGCACTCCATTCCCACATCACCTTCCCATGGCTCGATTGCTGCGTATCAGGGGTACTCCCCTCAACGAACCTACAGATCGGAAGTGTCTTCGCCAATTCAGAGAGGAGATGTGACGATAGACCGCAGGCACAGGGCCCACCACCCTAAGGTAAAGTGTCAGCTCATCTTGTGTTCACTACTTGATGCATTCTGGGTTTGGTTTGATTTGGTTTGGTTTTCCAGTACACTATTTTAAATGTGAGATAAGAAAATAGGGAGGAGCAGTCAAGGCAGCTCCTCTAAAAAAAAAAAAATTAAGGAAGAATATTCTGCAATGTCAAAATCTCACGTATAAAACCTAAGCTTGCAATGCTGAATCTCTCAAGAGCACGGAAACTGTTTTTTGTTTTTTGAGCACATGCATTATGCATTCGTCTCTGCCTGATAACATATCTCAGCTTTCCTTGTACGTTAGGACCACATGCATTTTTATTGGCTCTTTCCTCACTTGCAAATTCTACACCTGCCCTTTCTAGCATACCTGCAAGATTCAATCAGGTGCATCCTTTTCTTTGCTAAGATAAAGGTGCTGACCTCATCTTCTAACTAGCTGAATATATGGCAAATGGAAATATCTCCTTAGATACCCAGCTAAATATCAGAAATGCTTACTGGTTTAATACTTTTAAAATATTAAGATACAGAGACCATGTTTTAATTGGTACCTTAAGTTAGTTAAAGCACTGCTAAGCACTGCTTAGTAGAGTATTAAAAGTGAATTCAGAGTGCTTAGTATTGGTCAGCTTTTCATAATGTTGAAGCAGTTGACCAGGCACCCTGCATGCAGCCAGTTCTCCAGTGTCCTAAAATGAAAAGGAATTTTCCTGTGATTTTCTTTTTAGTTCTAAAGAATTTCTTGCTTTGTACTATTTTAAAATGCACTTTTCCTTATCCTTGTAACAGGCTGAATCTTTCAGTTACATCTTTGCATACAGCATTTGCTTGGTTTTGCCATAAGTAAGAGCTAGAAATTAATAAGTCAATAAGAAATTTTCTGATTGGAGGATGCTTCATGTGCTCCCCCACCAAAAAAAAAGGCTCACTTTTGAACTTCATTGTCACAGAGTTTCATATTTTGTCACTCTGTACACCCAGAGGCAAATCATATTTGATAAAAAAAAAAGTGACAGTATTTAGGAGAAATCTAATTGAATACAACATACTGTGTGGTTGGAAAGTGTTCTTATGTCTATTAGTATTTTTCATATTCTTAGCCAAAATTTACGATCTGTTTTAACAATAAATATGAGATGAATGTGTGCTCTCTATCCAGTTCCCAATTAACTCCTCCTCCCAAAAAACTTCTCCATCATTGCCAGTTTTTCTTTCAAACAGTCTTTCTTGATGTTATCAGTGTTTCTTAAAGTATGGCCCATAGATCTCTGGGAGCTGGTGGTATCCCTGAGGATCTCCATGATCCTTTCAGGGCATCTGCATGCAAGCCCCAAACTACTACTACTACTATTATTACTAGGCATTTTTTCACTGTTACCATTTTCTAATAGTGCAAAAGCAACAGTGGGTAAAATAGTGGCACCTTAGCCTAAATCAAGGGAGGGGCTCCCAGCCATGAGAGAGGTCATACTAGGCCTCACTTAAGAATCCCTTTGAGAAGGGCCTAGTTAAAGAACAAGTACAGATGGCCCATGGACATGGACAATAGAGTGGGGATTGACTGCGGGAGCAGGGTGTGGTGGGGAGGGGAGCAGGGGAGGGCAATGGGGGAACTGGGACAACTATAACAGAACAACAATAAAAAAATAGGAAACAAATCTTCAAAAAAATCCCTTTGATGAAACAGTAAGGGATAATTCTATTATTTTAATACTCGGTGATGAAATAGGAAATATACTTTAAGCATTTCTATTGCATACCAAAGTTCCAATGGTTGTCTCACTCACATAAAGACACTTGAATGATTGTATGAGTTGCAAGCTGAACTAGCTGCTTTTTGCATGAAACACCATTTTTACTTGAAAGAACAAATGACAAACTGTTATTCAGACTTAGCAATTGACAGACACTTCTCAAAGTAAAAAGCCTGTCACTTCACGGAAAACTGTTGGCAGTACTTGTCACTGATATGTATCAACATTAAAAACATCTGCATAACTTATCGAACCAGTATTTTCCACACGACCAATGTTTGATACTATAAAATCATAAATGGGTAGGAGATTCATTTAAAAGTGCATACAGACTAATGGATGTTGCTGTAATGATATGAAAAGCTGTTTTTATTGATATAATTTCAGATACCAGTTTGCAACTAACCTTTCAGAAAATACCACTTTTCAAGTTTTAGTGTAATATCAAGGATAAATATTATATATAATATAATTATTTTAAAAAGCTATTAAAATTCTCTTCCCTTTTATATATATATATATGGGGTAGATTTTCTTGATGTACTTCCACTGAAGAGATTATCATAACAGATTGAATATAGCAGCAGATATGAAAAATCTAGCCAAACATTAAAGAAATCTGCAAAACTATAAGACAGTACTAGTCTTGTCACTAGTTTATTTATTTTTTTTTTTTTAGGGACATAAAAGGGTCCTGAGACCAATAAGTTTGAGAACCACTGAGCCAGACCATGGAGAATTACTCTGTTGGCATCCATATTTTAGACAAGAAATTTTAATACCTATCTTCTTTCATAAGCACTAAGAGTAAATTTTAAGTGGTACTTTACAATATAAATATAAGATTTGCCATCACTAATGTTGACCACAGAAATTTATATTGTGCCTTTATTTTTCTAGCATGTCTATGTGCCTGACAGAAGGTCAATGCCAGCTGGCCTGACTTTACAGCCTATTAGTCCCCAGAGCCTCCAAGGCAAAACAGTGAGTATGATACCTTTCTTCACCATAACATGTTTTATTTATGTGCGACACACAGTAGCACATATGTGACACAGCTTTCAAGTTTGAATTTTCAGACCGATGCCTTCCAAAGAAAAACCTGTACTATTTTTGTGGAAGAGATGCTCATAAGAAGAATTTGCAGTCGTGTAGCCATTTCAGAGTCTTACTGAATAATTCTCCCTAAATGTCTGACTGCCTAAATATAAGATTATATTTTCAAGGTTAATGCTATAACCTGGGTGGATTTTTTTTATTTCATTGGATGTTAATTCCCTCATCTTTAAAACAGAAGTTGGAGTAGTTCATTAGTGGAACAAATTCAGCAAGCAACCACATGTAGTCACACTACAAGCCTATTAAGAAATTTCTCCTGTGGATTTTTAGATAGATTAACTACTTTAGAGCAGACTAGAAACTAATTTACATATTTATGAAAAGAAAGAGAGACTATAAAAATACTTACCATTATCATTTTATTTTTAGTGTTAAACTTCAAATTGAGAAGGAGTTATATTATCGGTACAGTATTACTCTTGAAATTAAAGAGAAAAGATGACTTTTTATTACTTCATTTTACTTTAATGGCATCCTTTTATCAGGGGAACTATGCTTTAATATCAGTAGGTAGTTTTACTTTCTGTGAAGATGTGATTTGAGGACCTATATAGTTGTTCCTTATTTAAAATTCTCTTTCTATTGTAATCAAAACAAAGTCATCTAATGTGTATTTTGCAAACATTCTTTTATCTTTTGCATACTTAGATATAAGGAAGGTTTCCTGGCTTTAAACTACTTGCTGTTTATTTTTCAAGTTTAAAAATACTGCTTGACTAAAACTAAAAACTTTAAAATGCTGGGATTTTAAAGTATTAAATTGTGAATCTAACAGACATTGATTTATCATAAGGTAATGCCTAATATACTACAAAATTTTCTCTTATTCCTTGCTCCCTCTAGTGGATGTTTAGAATAAAATTTTATTTACCACCAACTTTTGAGGGAGTCAAATGTGCCTCTCTTTATTTTGCTTCACAATTCAAGTCTTAGAAACTTACTGGAGTATTTCACCCTTTTGGAAATATCTTTATCTTTTTAACTGCATAAATAACAAACCAGAGTTTCAAGACTTCTCCTTTTGGTATTTCTGTCAAATAGCACTCGGGGTCTTAGAATATTTAATACCTTACCCCAGCCTTCCCTCTCCCTAGCTGAGCCTCAAGGGTTTGATCACAAGACATGGACTGCTCACAGCCATGAGGTCCCAAGATGGGGTTGGCATCAGATCAAAAGCAGCTCTTCTTTTTGTTATGACATTTCTTTAAGTCAACACACACACACACACACACATACACACACACACACACACACACACTCTCTTACACTATTTACTCTAAAAGACTCTTATCTCATCTGTACCCTCAGTTTTATCTCAAGAATCCAGTAGTAACTGGTTTACTTACTTCTGACATATTTCTCCCCTGAAGGCCCAAGTTTTTAATGTAATTATAAATAATAGTTTAAAATCTGTCCCTAAAAAAATAGTATTAATAAGAAAAAAGAGGAACAGGAAATGAACAGAGTGGAGGAGAACTAGGATAATGCTGTCGGCAAAACAAGTCAATCTCAGAATGCTCTGTAGCCTGGAAGTTTTACTATCTTATAGCTTACAGCTCAGCCAGTGTTCATACTTTACTGCTTTTCTAACAAAGGGAAATTTGTCAGATCAGCCTCTTAAGGAATCTTACCTACCTTTGAACGTTTCTTCCCCTTAGGGATCATAGTAACTATCAGGAACCAAAAGCTTTTTCTTCTCCCCAGAAGGTAGAAGGAGGGTTTTGCACCCGTGAAAACTTTCTATGTGTATTAAATATATGTATATTTTTTAAAAGTCAAAACTGATCTTTTGATCACATAAAATAACCTTTGAAAGCACTAACAGTGGCATTTAAAAATAGAACTGGGAAGCAATGAACAGATCTCAGGTATTGCGTTTAATGATGTAAAGATATTGTCCAAGTTTTCCTTGAATTTTAATCCTTTTTATTTACCTTCTGTTCTCTAAAATGGAGTGCTGGACATGCCAGTATTGTTCTGTTCGTGTAAAAATCTTAGGTGTCATTTTTACACATCTTCTTAGAATAATCTCTTAATACCTCTTATGTATAAGTCTTTGTGATTTTTTTTGGCATTATGCTTTTTATACTTAACATTTAAATTTCTCTTGTGAGTTCTGAGAAAATGCCTTAATATACTGTCATGTTGCTATATCTTTTAAAGTAACACTGTTCCTTCTATTTCTCTAGATATCTATGCATTTATGTAGGACCTATCATCATAGTGCCTAGGCACTATGTTTGATGTCAACCATAAGAGGAAACTTGCCAAGAAATCTTGGTTTAATGTCTGTCACTTAAGACAACAATTAATCTGTTTTCCACTGTTTGGATTCTTAAATTGTACTCCTTCAGCCAGAGGAGCTTACGCTGCTGCTAATAAAGCTGAGACGGCAGCAAGCCGAACTGAGTAGTGTCCGGGAGCATACGTTAGCACAGCTCATGCAGCTAAAGCTTGAGGCCCACAGCCCAAAGGTCAGCTATGGAGAGATTTGTCTGTGTCGTCTGCCATTGTCACTTATTTTAAGCCACTCATTAACCAGTTTATCAGTGTCATTAGTGTTGAGCATGAGCCCATACCATCATCGCAGCAACAGCATTAGGATCTCCTATTGACCCTTTGAGAATTTACCTGCTGATACATTGTGAAAGGGAGACACAGTAGGATGTTTCTTCTTAGACCCCCACCCACCCACTTAACTACCAACTTTTGATTGTGAGAAAAGAAATGCATAGATACTTAAATTGGGTTATCGTTTACCAAATACTGTCAAATTTCCACATCTGATAAAACAGATATTGAAAAGTCCCAGAATTTGCTGCAAAGTAGTAAGTTGAAAATTGATAACAGTTTTAATAATACTCTCTATTTATGTTAAAAATTAATTTTAAGATATTTCTTCTATTCTTGACTAAAAAGAATGAACACATGTAAACATTTCTCAAAGGGTTTAATAGCCTCTGATTATATGCGAAACATCCAAAGAAGTACTATATCACAGAAAATAATTAACCTGTGAAGCTTCTACCATTGTGTCTGCTACAGCCATTTGAAGGGTTTTTCTGCTTAATATTTCAGCCTGGATGCATGTCCACTTAATTTCTTGCAAAACAGGGTTCAATTATATGATTTAATATGTCATCTATACCATTCATGGGGAAGCATGTGTGTGAAAGTTACTGTGTATTGTGGTATAAGAGGTTGTGGTAAACTACCTGTTATTCTTATTTCAAAATTGACCTTTTCATGAATTCTGCACCTTCTTTCTCTGTTCCTCTGTTTCTTGATTGATGCCTACTAGAATGAAATTCTTTTGCATCATCTTCAAAGGAACACCATATATTTGGATCATCAGGTGGGTGGGCTTTGTAGAATTTTCTTACATATAATACCTAATAGAACTCTTTAAACGTAGTGTAGTTTTTCAGGCTAATCAGATATTTCTGTCATTTTGAGTTTACTAGCATGACTTTTACCAGTGACAGAGTAAGAAATCCCTAAGTAGGTAAGTTCAGAAATACCATAATAAACAGGTAGGAAGACAGTTGTAGAGGTAAAGGAGGGATAGAAACACTGGGTCATCTGAAATTGAGAGCCTGAATTCTCTAGACTTCTTTCTTATTCCAAGAAAACTCCTACTATGGAGGCATACCTCAGCTTGGAGTTGACCTAGTTGAAGAAACATACCAAGCTGTAAATGCCTTGTTGGAAGGCCAGGAGGGCAGGCGTAGTACACTGTGTATTCCCAAGTGTTTGGTTTTTGCTAAGCTACATAGAGTCAGTTTTACAGTGACCTATAGTTCCTACCTAGCACTACCTCAGAGGGAGCCACAAGTGTGACTGGTTAAGGTGAATATTCAAAAGTGTGAGTGGTAGTTTGTGAAAAAGGACTGACCCTTCAATGTTTTCGTTTTTATGAATTTCTCTATTAATATTTAATTTTAGTTGGATGAGAATTTTGATAGGTTCTTAAACATAGAATTTCTGCAGTGAATACATTTTGAGCTCGTTTTTTAAAATGTTCGCACTTGGCTATTTTATCAAAATAAAGTGGTTACTGTGGAAAATGTTATACTTATATTTGCTTGTTTGAAACAAAATAATGAACTGCTTTAAATTATTTTTCTAATTTAAAGAGGGATTTTACATTGGGATAACCCTTTAAAAGATGTCAAGTCTTTTTTTTTTTTAATTAAAAATGTATATTTTGGTTAATGTAAAATTGGTTTTTCTACAAATTATTTTCTTCATGATTTTGCCTAACTAGAATGCTTTAGAAATTAGCATTTCATGAATCCAAATTTAGATCTTCATGTCAGAGACTGGTGTCACTGAAATTTAACGACAGTGTCTACCATACACTTTGAAAGCAGTCTAATAAAGAAAATCTTCCCTCAAAACTCCACACAGCCAGAAAACTAGTAAATCCATGGGAAATACTTTCTTAAAAAGCTACTTTGTCTAAAATGCTAGAAATAGTTACAGAAAATAATGGGAAGTTACAAAAATTAGGTTTAAAAAACAATGGTGTAAATTTGTGTCTGAAGTTATCCAGAATCTGTAGAAGTAAACCTAGTGGTTTGCTGTAATTGATTACTCACCCCAATAATCAAAAGTGGAATTTCAGAGGCATAGAACTCAAGAAAATCTTAGGAAAGGACAGAGAAATATATCAAAAATACCACCGTCTGCTGAGATGATTCTCCTCGACCCTCTTTCCCAGGTCAGTCTCCCTTCCTTCCCTTTACTGAAGTGACTCAGCCTCCAGTTGAGGTTTATATTGCCATGACTCCTTCCTAACCATGTTCTGCTGGGCCTTTCCTATTGCATCATGCTAGTGGTCCTGCAGGAGGGCTTCAAAGATCTCAACTTTTTATAGTCTATCCTCTCAACATGTCAGCAGAGGTTTCCCAATAATTTACCTTTTTTTTAAAAGATATTAGATCCTGAAGCAAAGTTGTATTATTCAAACTTCTTTTATTGGATCTTTATTGTATTTTTTCCCGTCACCATTTATCCCTCATATATACCACCCCCAGCAGTCATCACATGGTTGTCCATGTCCATGAGTCCTTTGTCCTTTTTGGTCAGTTCCTCCACACTGTATATAAAGGATTACAGAATTTGACTGCTTGCATGCTAATTTGCTTTGAAATAAGACTGTCTGAAGGAAAAATTTTGGGCCATTTTTAGATAATAGTTAGACAATTTATAAAAAACATGATGGAGACTGTGCCTACAAACTCAGATAATTATAAATGTACATGTCCTTAAGGTTTCCTAAAGAAAATCTCTCTTTAAATACATCAAAATTTGTTATGCTTTTGAATAATTGCTACTTTTTCACTGTCCTATATTTAGTATCCGTATTAATGTTACTAAGTTATATAAAAAGAATTCTTGATCATTTTGAAATTTAATAAGTTTTTATTCAGCTCAAACATTTCCAGCTTTTAATCTTATTACTGCCAGTAACCTATTTTAGATTACCAGGTCTGTTGATTTTATAGGCATTATTGGTTGCCTTGGTTTATAAATTAATTCATTGGTTTTATATAAATTCAAATTGGAAAGTAGATTTTAAAATCTTAAAGTCAAAGGAAAAGGCTCTGGTCCCATTTTATTTATACTGTTCATCCTGCCAAATGAACATACAGTAATTGATAATTTCAACACTTAATTTGCTTGATCTGATAAATTATCAGAATAACCTAAGGCCAGCAATAAACACAATCTTCCTTTTTTCCGTTGTCAGATTCCACCATCATCAAAAGAAGAATTCTAGTTGATTTAAATTCTTTTAACCCTTATCACTCTTCATGAAAAATATAGCCAAGCTGTAGTCTCTGTGTTGGTACACAGGTACATTCACGTGTCTAACTGTCACTATTATGAGGACAAGTCATGCACTAAAGTGCTCTTAAAAATAACAAAAGCTGTGGTAGAATTTTCTCCTTTTTTTTAGTTTGAAATATACTATTACAGTTTGCTTAGGTTCTTATAGCTCAGGAGACTATTCAAAGTGTACATTTATTAAGACTAGTGTAGGTTTATTTGTCATTTTTCTGAACTTTAAGGAAATATGGCCCCAAAGTATTACCTGTGAATATACAATAATCCTAACTGTATACTTTATGTACTTCATCCAGGTTCTGTTTTAAAAATGAGTAAGTACATAATATATAATAAACTCATATTTTTCTCAGTTTAGTTATCACCAGATATTAGAGGAACTTTTGGTTACAGTTGAAGTGAAATTTGCAAACTTTATCCTAAAATATATCTACTAAATGGATTTAACATTTATTAGGTTTTTTCCCTTGTTTATTCCTCTGCCTAGCAGAATACAGAAAGGAGTGGAGGCAGCTATAGTTACAATTTTATGATGGCTCTGTACTTCCCAGGAAGTTGGAAATAAATTTGAGATTATCAGCACTTTCAGTGGTATCTCCTAGAAAAGACTGTTTTCATTCCTTGAAAGTAAGGGAAAAGAGAATATCATAATATATTTTCTTCTCAGAATAAGAAGACTGAGCATGATTTTTAGATCTATGTGGCCTTGCTGAACCAAGTATTTGATAATTAGGAGTTCAAATGTTTCCATGAAGTTAAATGTAAATCAAAGTAACAGGTTTCCATAGAAGCTTATTGTAGTCAAACTTCTGGTGTTCACCTGTAAGATACAGAAAGGGCATACTGGTTGTTCTGGTTCCTGTATCCTTTACTAGTTGTTAAATGTTCTTACTAGCACTTCTGTTGGTTAAATTCCCAGTCCAGGCCATAAAATACTGTATTTAGTTAGTATACCTAAAAACTGTACTAACAGTGTCATATACCCCAACTGTATTAAGGAAAACATCTCTCAGAAAATGTTTTATAACCCCATATCTTTGGCACCTATATATCTCCTTCAGCAGGTCTAACACTGGGAGTAGGACCTTCAAGTTTCTTAATCTTGTTGTTTATAAGGGTTTCCACTGATGTCTAGCTCTTGGATGTGATAGCCTGAATAATGATTGCTTGGGCTGAGCAAGGAAATGAGGTCAGGTTTTAGAAACTAGACCAGGAGCTAACGAGAGGAGCTAGGCAAGGCCTCTCCATAGATGAAGATGTGGAACAAAAGCTGGAGCTTTTTTTCCCCCGACTCATATGGCTCAGTAGGTTGAGTGCCAGCCTGAGAATCAAAGGGTCGCTGGTTCAATTCCCAGTCAGGGCACATGCCTGGGTTGCAGGTCAGGTCTCCAGTGGGAGGCTTGCAGGAGACAACCACACACTGCTGCTTCTCTCCCTCTCTCTCTCTCCCTTCCCCTCTATCTATCTATAAATAGTAAATAAATAGTCCTTAAAAATACCTTTGAGCTTTTTTATTAGTCACAAAGGGAAGGTTAATAAGAACAAGGAAATTCCAACAGGTCCTATCCCTTGGTCTGTTTTCCTCTCGTGGATTTTAGCTCTTCCCTCCATCTGTTTCTGTCTTCCTCACTGGCTTTCTTTTTCTAACTTTCCCATGTTAGTGATTGAAGAGTGGTTATGAGGTAATTTGGATGATGTCCCCTTTTTCTTCTGCCTAAAACCTCCCTACCAGTTTTCCATGTTAGGCAATGATAACAGAAAATGAGATGCTAAGACCTGTGCAGGTAGGGATGGACAGAAGGATGGAGAAACTTGGAGTGGTGCTCCACAAGCCTCTGGTAAGCGTGCTGCCTTATGGGTGCACTAATATGCAGCAGCTGCCCGCCCCCACCATTGTGATTATACCACTTCAGTAGCCAGCTACCAGCTTTAAGCATCCCTGCCACAGTTAATTGAGTTTAACTTCTACACTTCAACAAATCTGAGCTTTACTTGCACTGGTACCGCAGCAGGTATTTTTTCATCTTTTAAATATAAAATTGTTTTGTAACATTGAGTGTGCTTTCACAAATTCCCCTTAAAATTATGGTGTTCTGTCTTTACCCCTCTCCCTTCAAGAGTCAATATAGTTAATTGCATCAGAAACGTTTGCATGAGAATGGGAAAGCAAGGGACATACCTCAGTCGGCCACATTATGTTCAGGATTGCCTGTGCTGGCATCATTTAATGACGCTCGTTTGTCTCTACCCAGCTGGAGCTATCTCCCCGCAGCTAGAACATACTTAAGTCATTTCTGAATGTAGCATCAAATAGGATATTCTGTTAACCTAAATATAAAAAGCCAAAGTGAGAGGAAACAAGCATTTCTTTGAGATCAAAAGGAATTGCAATCTAGGGGCACAAATTCAGGCAGAAACCCAAATTGTGTCTTGTTTATAGGGTAATGGCAAGAGTTTTTTTATGAGAAGGGGAAAGTAAATAATAGAAGGAAGGAATTTCTA